TTCGATTTCTGGTCAGGGCACATGCCCAGGTTGTGGGCTGGATCCCCAGTGTCGGGCGTGCAGGAAGCAGCGATCAATGATTCTCATCATTGATGGTTCTCTCCCTCTCTCTTCCTCTGAAATCAATATATGTGTGTGTGTGTGTGTGTGTGTGTGTGTATATCTATAGCTCTATATATATATATATCTTTTTTTAAAGTAAAATGACCACAGAAATGTATCTTGCCTGTGTTACCCACTCAGATGCTACCCCCTGTATAAAATCTTAGGTTTTCCCATGAGAATCCTACTCACTGTGACCCCTCCCTTCTGTAACCTGTCATTTGCTGCCTTATATTCAAGCTATTTATGCACTTTAAAAAATCTTTCCTGTGGCATATCACACACACACACACAGCCACCCTAAGTAGGAGGCGCCCACTGCACATGTGTGGAGTGCTCTGTACAGAGCCTTCACTGTGTCTGTCTTAATCGGTTCTGTGTATAAGCAGGCAGTTCTGTAAGAATGGGAAGCCACGTAGTAGCTTTAAGTAGCATAGTTTTATGTTTCAGAAAGATATTTCTAGAGGCAATGAATGGTGGGCCGAAGACCTGGGGAGGGAGCAGGAGCACTGGTGACGGTGCAGGACAGGACTTGGGGCCCCTTGCGTCCCATCCACCAGCCTGTTCTCCGATGTGGACAGCAGACATGGCCATTTTGAGGCGAGGTGACCTGCAGCCCACCATCCACCCGCTTCAAACCAGGTGGCTGCTCCCAAGTGTTTCCTGGATAGCGAGTCTGGAGTCAGGAGACCAGAGGCAGGCAGAAGGCAGCTACGATGGCCCAGCCACGAAACAGCGAGTCCCTGAACCCCTAGGCTCCACGAAGATGCTGGGACTCACAGACTTGCTGGCCAACAGGAGGTGAAGGAAGCAGCTAAAAGACATAGAGGCCGATTTTGAAGTTTCTCATTGGGTCAACTGCAGGCACAGGTTTCAGGGATGAAAATAATCTAGGGCAAAGGAACCAGGACAAAAGGAACAAATGGGACTCCATGAAAATAAAAGGCTTCTGCACAACAAATGAAGCCACAACAAAATGAAAAGAGAACCCACTAAATGGGAGAACATATTTGCCAATGAAGCATCCGATAAGAGATTATATATAAGGAACTCGTACAACTTAACAAAAGGAAAACAACCCAATTTAAAAAATGGGCAAAGGACCTAAATAGACACATCTCCAAAGTGGACATACAGAAGGCCAAGAGACATAAGAAAAAATGCTCAAAGTCACTAATCATCTGAGAGATGCAAATCAAAATGACAATGAGGTATCACCTCACACCTGTCCGAATGGCTACCATCAACAAATCAACAAACAGTGTTGGCAAGGATGTAGGTAAAAGGGAACCCTGGTGCACTGCTTGTGGGAATATAGACGGCTGCAGCCACTGTGGAGAACAGTATGGAGTTTCCTCAAAAAATTATATAGGGAACTGCCATTTGCCCCAGTGATCCCACTTCTAGAAATATATCCTAAGAAGCCCAAAACACCAATCAGAAAGAATATATGCACCCCCCATGTTCATAGCAGCGTGATTTACAGTAGCTAAGATTTGGAAAAGGCCCAAGTGTCCATCAGCAAAAAAGCGGTGGTACATTTACACCATGGAATACTACGCAGCCGTAAAAAAGAAAGAAGTCTTTACTATTTGCAACAGCATGGATGGACCTGGAGAGCATTATGCTAAGCGAAATAAGCCAGTCAGAGAAAGATAAACATCACATGATCTCACTCATGTGGAGTCTAATGAACAAAATAAACTGATGAATAAAATAGATCCAGAGACATAGAAGCATGGAACAGACTGTTGAATTTTAGAGGGAAGGTGGCGGGGGGGAGTGATTAATAGGGGAACTTATATGCATGCGTGGACTCAGACAATAGAGTGGTGAAGGTCTGGGAGGGGCAGGTACAGGGTGGAAGGGGTCAATGGGGAAAAAACACAAAGAAAGGGGACATCTGTAATACTTTCAACAGTTAAGATACATTTTTTAAAAATAAAGCCTTAATCAAGTCATGCACACATGACAGTTTTTTTCATGTCTATGAAAGGCTTTTAAAAAGTGGCATGTTTATCTCTAAAATAAGATAATAAATCTAAGTTTTAAAAAAAAGAACTAATCTGAGGGTTAATTTTAATAGCTTTGCTTACTGTTGCAATGGTCATTGTAAAATTTTCTGATGAATAATAAAAGCTCAATGAAGAAAATAAGAAAACTGCCTGAAATGCTAAAACCCAGTGAGAAAATTTCGATGACTGTCATTCCAAGTTCTGCAACTGGCTTTTCTCACCGAGCAGTTTCCCCAAGACATTTATTTGGGTCCATAAATGCTGACCAGCCAGGGGGCCCACAGAGCCTGAAACCACAGTTCACAGGGGAGAGAGGGCTTCCAGGCGGGAGACGGATTTCCCCAGAGCTGCCCGGTAAGATGAGGCCTGAGGGAGGCCCGTAGGGGTTGGCAGATAAAAGGTCAATTGTCTTTTCTTTCTCAAGTCCTCAGTGCTCTTGCAGTAATGGAGGCAGAGTGACTGGAATGGGAGCCAGTGGTGAGTAAGCGGAGTGGCCTGTGTAATGAATGGGCAGGGAAGGAGGGAGAATGAGAAAGGGCGGCTGTGGGCCCGCTGGCCTGTCCACCCAGCCACGCGCAGGGCTGCTGGGCTCTCCTCCTCCTCCCTCTCTCCCTCCCTCCTTCACACACACACACGCACACAAACACGCACGCACACATGCCTCTCAGGCCTGCCCTTCTTCCCTCTGAGCAAAGGTCATATGCAATAGAGGTTGCGCGGTCCTTCGTGAAGTGTGAGGAGCCACAGAGATGCCCTCCCATGTGTATCAGCCCAGCCTGCTCCTACACCTGCAGGTTTCTCTCTCTTTCTTTTTATTGATGAGACAGACAGACAGACATCGGTTTGTTGTTCCACTTATGCATGCATCCGTTGGTTGATTCTTGTGTGTGCCCTGACCGGGACTGAACCCACAACCTTGGTGTCTCGGGACAACACTCCAACCGGCTGAGCTACCCGGCCTGGGTTACACCTGCAGATTTCGTTCCCACCCTGTCCCTCACCCCAGTAGATTGTACCTTCCTCCTGGCCACACACATCCTTTTTTCTAGCCTTCAAATCAGAACGTGTACATTTGACAGTCTCTAGCCCAGCCATGGGGCAAACTATGGCCCGCAGGCCGGATCCAGCCCGTTTGAAATGAATAAAACTAAAAAAAAAAAAAAAGACCGTACCCTTTTATGTAATGATGTTTACTTTGAATTTATATTAGTTCATACAAACACTCCATCCATGCTTTTGTTCTGGCCCTCCAGTCCAGTTTAAGAACCCATTGTGGCCCTCGAGTCAAAAAGTTTGCCCACCCCTGGTCTAACCTCACTTAAGAGAAATGGGAATTGAAACGACAATGAGCTGCTTTCCCACCTGTCCATTTGGCAAAGCTCAGTGAGCTGAGGAACGCAGTGTGGGCATAGTTATGAGAACTAAGCTCTCTCGTGTCGCTGGTAGCGGTGTAGGCTGAGATATTGGTAATGCTCCTCAAAACCTGAATGCACTACCTCTGACTTAGCAGTCCCCGCACAGCTGGAAACGGGTCCGACAGCCGCATTCATACATGAACAAAACGATGAGTGTTCGAGGACGTTCGTCACAGCAAGGGCCTGGGCCGCGCCTCCCTGTCCTCGGACGTGGACCTGTCTGGTGGCCGTGGCACCTCCAGGTGGTGGGTACTGCGCAGCTGATCTCAGAATGAGGCAGCCCTCGGTACATTCTGGAAGCACTCCATGTTGCTAGGTGAACAAGATGAGGCATGTGTGCAGGCCAGAGACCAGGGCGGAGGCCCGTGGGGCAGACGGGCCCACCTGATGGGAGGGCGTGCGGTCAGTCTTCGCCAGACATGGCCATGCTGAGGCCCAAGCCACAGGGAGAGTTGGAAGGGCCAGGCAGCCATGGCCAGTTCACCCCGCGTGTGTTCGTGAGAGTCAGTGAGCACAGACGTGCCGGGAAGACCCGGGGCCCCTGCGGCCATGGACCGTGTGTGTCAGCCTTCCAAAGCCGTCGGAGCAGAGCCGCAGCCCAGCAGCAGGGCCTGCCACCCGCCGGCTCCCACCCGCAGATGGTCTGCGCTGTGCCAGGCCAGCTGCCACCCAGCCGGTGGTTAGCATGTCCCCCTCCATGGCCTGCGGGCGCTCCCACGGAGGCTGGAAACCATCGTGGTGGGACGCTGACCCGTGGATGCCAGCATGTGCTACAAAGCGGGGTTGTGCTTGTGTGTTTGCTCAGAGGGCCAGTTGCTTAGCACTTACTGACACGTCACACACAGGACCTCGCTCGTCAGAAAGCACCCACGGAGGAGGGAGCGGGCTTCCCTGTGCTGGGGTCACGTGCAGGCCGTAGGCTTGTCGAACAAAAAGACGTCTTATTGACTAAACTCATATTTCTTTTCTTTTTTAAGGGGGGGAGGGTTCTGGCCAGTTGCTCAGTTGGTTGGAGCGTTGTCCTGTGCAACAAAAGGTTGTGGGTTTGATTCTGGGTCAAGGCATGTGTACAGGAGGCAACCCATAGATCTCTCTCTCTCCCTCCCTTCCTCTCTCTCTAGAACAGGGGTCCTCAAACTTTTTAAACAGGGGGCCAGTTCACTGTCCCTCAGACCGTTGGAGGGCTGGACTATAGTTAAAAAAAAAAAAAACTATGAACAAATTCCTATGCACCCTGCACATATCTTATTTTGAAGTAAAAAAACAAAACAGGAACAAATACAATATTTGTATTTACATGTGGCCCGCGGGCCGTAGTTTGAGGACCCCTGGTCTAGAATAAACATATCTGGGGATAAAAAAGGGAGAGAGAGACATCGACTTGTTGTTCCGCTTACTTGTGCATTCATTGGTTGGTTCTTGTATGTGGCCTGACTGGGGATCGAACCCACAACCTTGGCGTATCGGGATGACCCTCCAACCCACTGAGCCAGGACCTAAACAAGTATTTGGTAAGCGCTCGTCCCGTGCCCGGCACCCTGCTTGGCGCTCTCCTGGGGGGCTGACATTCTTGAGACAATTGTCCTGCAGGTGGGAGGTCCTGTCCTCTCATGTACAGGTGAGACCCCAGAGTTCTGTAAGGGGAGGTGACTTTCTCAGGTAGATGGTTTCTGTACGGGATCACCTCGGACTCCTGATTCATACTTACTGAGCACCTCCACACGTCTCCTCGCCCAGGAGGCCACCTGGTCCAGGTCCCTGCCTCCAGGCCGATGAAGTAAGGTGTCCCCATTTCATTTACTTATTTATTTATTCATGTTGATTTCAAGAGAAAGGGAGCAGGGGAGAGAGAGAAACATCCATGATGAAAGAGAACCATTAATCTGCTGCCTCCTGCACACCCCGCACTGGGGATCGAGCCTGCAACCTGGGCATGTGTCCTGACTGGGAATCGAACCGTGACCTCCTGGTCCACAGGTCAGTGCTCAATCACTGAGCCACCATGGCCGGGCAAAATGTCCCCATTTTAAAGGTGAGATGATCGAGCCCAGAACCTGGAGCCCTGGAGCCCTGGTCTCCTGCCTCCGTGCGCTGTCCTTCCACCACTCGACAGTGGCCTTGGGGAAGCCAATGTGAAAAGCAGACCTTTAGAAGGCAGCGTTGGTAGATTCTCTGAAACGAGAGGAGAAGAGACTACTTTGAGGCCATCCAGGAAAGAAGGAATTCCTGGGGGAAAGAGGAGGAAACGGAGGCCCAACCAGCCCCTCTTCTTCCTCAGTTTACTGTTCAGTCATGAAATTCGTTTGGAGTCCCCTGCTGCCAGGGACTCGGTGCTGTGACAGGTGCCGAGAGAAAAATATGGCTCCGAATAACTCTTCCAAGGAAAAAGATGTGTCGTATTAAATCGAAGAGTAGCTTGTTTTAGGGAATGATGGGCTTACTGAGCAGGTTCATGTCTAACAGCTCCCCGTCATCAAAACCTCAGAGGGAACCCAGCCTCTGCCCCTGAGTGGGGGGACAGAGAGCCACAACTAACACCTGCAGGAACAGCTCGCCACCCGGGATGTGAGGGGAGGGGGTGAGTGGAAACCTCGTGTTCTGTGCATTTGCTCCTGGAACGCGGTCTAATCCATCATGTCCAGGGACCAGTCCTAAGACTTTCACTTTCTCTCCTCCGGCGGCCCCTGAGAACTCGGCTCTTGTTCCCACTCGGGAAAGCCTTCTGTCTCCTCACTGATGAATTGCTCGCTCGGTGTTGGTCTATTTTCACATTTAAATCAACGCGTGTCCATTTTGACAGAAGGCCGAGGACCTTAAACAGGCCTCCGGAACTGGCAGGGTGGGGGCCCCCCTCCCCCGGCCTCTCCCCCTCAAGGCTGCGTTCGCAGAGTCTTGGCCCGACTAAGCCAGCGGGTGTGAGAGCCGGTCGCTCACGCTGCACATCTCCGAAGGCCCCGGGCAGGGGCTGGGAGGTCGGTGTTACGGATGTGAAAACGGGGGCTCGCCTCCAGGTGGGGCACATCGTTGGCTTCTGGGTGAGGAATTGGGGGTGCAGATGTGACCCCGAGGAGCTTACAGTCCAGAGGACAGACCGTGTGCAAATAGGTCACAGCATCGCTTGCTGAGTGCCATGGCGACACCCAGCACAGCTGTGGTGGAGGAGACAGTGGCTGACCTCTCCTCACTGGTGAGAGTGGTGGAGCGGAGAAGTTTGTCCGGGAAGGTGGCCTCGGCACCGGCTTTTGAAGGAGGAATTAAACTTTCCCACCAGTAAAGGCCGCACGAGGCCCGGGCTTCTTCAGTTGTAAGAACGTGAGTGCAGCTGGTGTCGGGTGGGGAGCTGGGAGGGTTGAACCTGAAGGGTAGGTTGCGCCCATCACTGGTGAGCACCCCTTGACCCAGCAGCCAGCCAGGGAAGCATTTTTAAAAAATATTCTTTTACAGAGAGAGGAAGGGAGGGAGAGAGAAACATGGATCAGCTGCCTCCTGCATGCCCCCACACCCCCTCCTGGGGATCAAGCCTGCAACCCCAGGCATGTGCCTGACCAGCAGTCGAACCAGCGACCTCTTGACGCATGGGTCGACACTCTGCCCCTGGGCCATGCCTGCCGGGCCCAAGGGAGCATGTTAAGCCAGGAAGAGATCTGATGGGATGGTTTTTAGAAATCTGAACTCTTGCAGAGTTTGGGAAACCAGTGCAGTAGCCTTGGTGAGAAAGGATTTTGTCCCCAGTTGTGGCAAAAGGAGGGTAAGGAGAAACTGGTCGTTCGTTCACTTTGTCATTAATATATAGCACGACTCTCGGTGTTAAAAATTGCCTTTAAAAGGAAGTGGAGCCCTGGCCGGCTTGGCTCAGTGGATAGAGCATCGGCCTGTGGACTGAGGGGTCGTGGGTTCGATTCCAGTCAAGGGCACATGCCTGGGTTGCGGGCTTGATCCCCAGTGTGGGGCATGCAGGAGGCAGCTGATCAATGATTCTCTCCCATCATTCATGTTTCTATCTCTCTCTCTCTCCCTCTCCCTTCCTTTCTGAAATCAATAAAAATATATTTTAAAAAAATTAAGAGGAAGTGGAGAGCATCTTGCACATGTCTTCATGCCTGTGTGGTGGTGGTGTCTGTCTGCGAGGTTAGGTTTGTAGCCTGCTCTCCTGGATGGCTGCGTGCCCCACAGTTTCCTGAGAGGGGGTTTGTGTACCCCCTTTATTACAGAGAGGGGCCCCAGGGCCTGTGTACCACTGGGGGCCAGAGAGGCAGGAAAAACTGGACAAGGAGAGAAAAGGGCCCTTTCTTTCTGCACCAGGCCTGCCCCTCCCACCAGGAGGCAGCAAACGGGATTCTGAGGGGCGGGGTTCTTACCTGGGAAGCTTTGGGGATGACTTGTTTCTTTGCTTCCCCTGCCGCCCTCCCCTTCTGGCACTACTGCAGTTGATTGTCACACGGAGCCTTGCTCCCTCCCTCCTTGGCCCTGCTTGACGGGTGTCCTGTGAGAGCCTGTGAATGGGGAGGACGTGGGCGTCTTCACCCACAGCCCAGTCCACACCAAACCGGCTGGGGGAGGGGCTGACCCTACCTCCTGGGAGGCGGAGGGTTAATCCCCGTAGCTCATTGGCAGTTCTGCCTCTGTACAGGGCATGCTGGGATTTCCTCCCAGCTGTTTTACATCATGAAGATTTGTATGTTGGGGAAATTCCAGGCCACAGCTGCAATTAATCTGCATGGCCTCCATGCTAAGCAGGGAGTTCTGAAGGACCCAGTCTCCGCCTCCCTGCAGGATGGGGGCTCTGGCTTCCAGGCAGCTCCCTTCAGAGGGACCCTGGCCTGGGTCTGAGTCCCACCGGAGCAGCCTGTCTGGCCCAGGGTCACCCTAGGAGGGCCCTGGGTAAGGGCCCGAGACACAGAAAGGGACCCAGAACATTAAGTAAAAGAGGCGCAGCACCCCTTATCCTATATAATAAAAGGCTGATATGCAAATTGGCCCTAATGGCAGAACAACCAGTTGCTATGATGTGCACTGACCACTAGGGGGCAGACGCTCAACACAGGAGCTGCCCCCTGGTGGTCAGTGCACTCCCACTGGTGCGCCTGCGTGTAAGGTGCATAAGGGAAATGAATGCAACATGATTATAGTAATCAGTCCTTAGCGAACGTTGTAGTTTGTTATTAATAATTATGTATAACAGGATATTGTAAAAATTAAGTTATGAGGTTTTTATTAAAATGTTTCTTACATACCGTTATATTGGCTGGGCCACAAAAATATCCGTTGTGGGCCACTTGTGGCCCGTGGGCCGCGAGTTTGACATGCTTGCTTTAGAATAAATACTTCTTTCCCTCAGAACTGCAATTCCATGGCTAGGCTGCAGGGGGTGCCAGCGTTTTTATAGGTATCTCTCCCCTCCCCCGTCCCAATATTACCACCTTCACTTATTTCAAAATTTTAACAAGGCAGAAGAGCATAAAGGGGACCCTAGCCAGTTTTGCTCAGTGGATAGAGCATTGGCCCGAGGACTGCAGGGTCCTGAGTTCGATTCCTGTCAAAGTCGCGTACCTTGGTTGTAGGCTTGATTCCCGGCCCTGGTCGGGCCTGTGCGAGAGGGAACCAATTGATGTGTCTCTCACATCGATGTTTCTCTCTCTCTCCCCCTCCCTTCCACTCTCTAAAAATCAATAGAAAAATACCCCTCGGTGAGGATTGACGACAACAACAAAAGTACAAAGGGGGCATTAACAGCCTTCCATTTCCCTGCCTCCCAGAATGCACCCCTCTCTGCACACGCACACACACCCAGCCCCCAGGATGGGCTGGAGCAGGAGGGTCCTGGGCCAGATGTGCAGCCTCCCAGAACCGCCTGTCCCCACCTGCCCAGCGGACCTGCAAGGGCCTGACGTCAGTGGCGGGCAGGGCTGGAGGTTTCCACCACCTTCCAGCTTCCAGGTCCCGGTTAAAGTCAGTGAGTGAACACAAGTGCAACGTGCAGAGGATATGTGATAGATTGTACACTTGAAACCTATACAGTTTTATTAACCAGCGTCACCCCAATAACTTTAATAAAATTTTAAAAAATAAAATGAGTGAGAGTGGACCTGGCGAGAGAAGAGGCCAGTGCGGCCTCCTCCTCCCACCGGAATTCCCCTCATCTTGGTAGGCAGGTGAAACGCAAGCAAATGATAAGTAACCAAAAGCAGTAGCTGTTGGCGTTACAGCCAGTGCTGTGTGTGGTGTTACATGTTCGTACCTTGAAGGCCCAGGACCAAGGCCGACAGACCGTCGTCATGCAACACACCGTCTGTTCAGTATGAGCTCAACCTGATGAGTAGGTCCTCACGGGGCGCCCCCCCCCCCCCCGGAGGCATTCAGCAGAGTCTGGAGGCATCTTTGGTTATCACACGCGGGCAGGAGAGTGGGGGCTACTGGCATTTGGTAGGTAAAGGCTGGGGATGCTGCTGAGCACCCTACAATGCAGGGGACAAGCCCCCACAGCAAGGAATTGTCCAGCCCAAAATGTCCCTCGTGCCAAGGTTGAGAAACCCTGCGTTAGGATCCTGCAAGCCTCGATGCCTGACACTCCAACACTCCAGCGTTGTCCCAAACCAGGTTCAGGCGGCTCCTTCGTCGTCCCTCCTCACGCCCTCCACACGCACACACACATGATTAGGAGCATCCTTTGGGAGCCAGTGAGAAGGAAGGGTGTTCAGCACGTCTTTAGGGCTCTCAGTAGGGGACCAGGTGCTGGTAGAGTTGATGGATTCTGGGAGCCATCTGCTGTGTCTTGGGGGGAGCGGGGGTTGGGGCCACCACGTTAGCCCCTGATGTTTGTGATGGTCGTTCAGTTTTTAAAAACAAATATTGTAGTTGTCGCTCCTAGAGAAATGAGTGTGATGTGTAGCACTCACGTGTGAGCTCTGGCCACCTCAGGTGTCCCTACAGGAGAGCACCAATGTGTGTGCGTCCCTTCAGCTTTGGGTGGCTCAGCTGGTTGGAGCGTCATCCTCTACACCAAAAGGTGGAAGGTTCGATCCCTGGTCGGGGTACATTGGGAGGCAACTAAGCTCTCTTTCTCCCCCCCGCCCCCCGTAAAATTCAAAAAACAAAACCAAACCACCAGAGCAAAGAAAAGTCTGGGGGTGGGGCTGGGTGTTCAGTAAGTTGTTGTTTTGAATAGCTTTCCGGCTTGTGCTCTAGTGAAAAGTGTGGGATGTGAAGTCAGGAGACCTCTGCTCCAGCTCCAGCTCTCAGCGTGAGGGTGGGTGAGCCATTTGCCCTGTATTTACCTCCATCAGCTCATCTGAAAATTCAGACCATCATCGGACTTGGCATGGCAGGGTCACTGCAGACACCTCCGTTATGTGTATCAGGTGCCCTGAAGCAGCCCGCGCCGCACAGGTGTCATTCGCCGAGGACATTGGTGTTAACTGATGACGCCGGTGTGTGTCGAGGACACGTGCCATGAGACCAGAGGACCCAGTGGAAAGACTGTCCTTACTCATGGGGCCCCCAGTGCGCTTTTTCATTCTCACCCCCTGGTCTCCTGCAGCCAGGCCTGCCTGCCCCTCCCCCTCCTCCCCCCCACTGTCTGCACCGCTCCTGGCCGGGGTACAAGTGTCCTTGGGTTGTTAATCCCCCCCGTGGACACCCTTCTGAAAGCCCGGCCCCTGCCCGCAGTCAGTCTTGGTGGTCGATGAAAAGCAAAGGGCCTCGGGTCCTGCCTCAGCCCGTGCACAGCCCAGGCCAAGTCCTGACTCTCTTCCTGGAATTGTGCGACGAAGGCGAGGATGAGTCAAAGACTGCTTTGTCTCTGGGAGCCTCTTCCTGGAGCCACCATTTCCTACGCGAGATTTAATTCTCGGGGTTGCCTCGGCGGCCGCCCCCACCTGGTCTGCTACCCGGGAGCGCCGTGTCAGTGTTGACACGAAGACAGCATGTGCTCTGGCTCCTGGCAGAGACAAATGGTTTGCTTATGAAAATTACTGCTGCCATTTGTCCCGCGTCTCCCACATGCAAAGCACCGTGCTTAATCCTGGACATTGTCCCTAATCCCCCCACAACCAGGAAGGCGAATGACTATCCTTGCCTACAGTCAGGAACTGAGGCTCGGTTAGGATGCTTGTCTGGGTCACACCGCCTACTGGCCGAGCGAGAACCTACGCCCGCGAGCGCTCAGCCCAGAGCCCAGAGCAGGCGCCTCTCCCAGGCCCTCACTGCCCCCGCGCTGCGCTTCCCAAAGACTGCGCCATGCCAGGTCAAGGAGAGGCGTTTCATCTGAAGAGAGTGTGTGTCTGTGTGTGTGTGTGTGTGTGTGTACGCGCACATGCTGATTTATTACAGTAAAACCTCGCTAGAACGAACTAATTTGGGCATGGAGCGTGGGGGCGGGGGGAGGGGGGCGGGTATCCGTTAAAGCTGAAAGTCTTATAAAATCAAGTAGGTTTTGAGAACGCGTATGTTAAAAAATTGGCAAACTGGTTAGTTTACCTGTTTTTACTAATGTAGACACATTTGTGTTATTTAAATGATGTATAAAAAGTCTCCTTTCACAGGAAAGTTTTCTATATGTATTATGTAATTTTAAATTTATACTGAGTAGGTCTAGTAAGTGCGCGCATCCATCAATCACCAAGAGCAAACAAATGCACACGGCTGGGGCGTGGCTTAGCGCACGTGGGGACGTGGGGACGTGGGGACGTGGGCTAGCCATTCAAACTGCCGCAGAAGCCTGGCTGGTGTGGCTCAGTGGGTGAGCGTCGACCTATGAACCAGGAGGTCATGGTTCGATCCCCAGTCAGGGCAAATGCCCAAGCTGTGGGCTGGATCCCCAGGGTGGAGTGTGCAGGAGGCAGCCAATCGATGATTCTCTCATCATTGGTGTTTCTATCTCTCTCTCCTTCTCCCTTCCTCTCTGAAGTCAATAAAAATATATTTAAAAAAGAAAAAACGGCTGCAGAAAGTCACACAACTCACAACAGAACCAATTACCACACTCGATGTGGTGTGATCACGGGCTAGTCATTTGCCGAACACTGTTTAGGAGCGGTGACTCGGCTTTAAATGTGTGGACTATAGCTGTTGATATGTAATGTTTATGTCGGCGAAATTACTACAGTGTCTTTTCCAACATATGGCCTATTTGCTAAAATTTTCTTTAAGTGACAGTGAATTAATAAAAAATAATCTGTTTAATTATAAACAAAGCTTAGTTAAAAGCACTTTAAAATTAACAGGATGTTAATTTTCACATATAACATACAGACCAGAACTTTTGTCCATTAAATCCGAAATCTGTTAAGTTGTCCACAAAATCAAGGGTTTACTGTATTTGGTTTGGATTTCTACAATACAGTGCTGCAGGAGACGACAGGGTGTATCTCGCATAACCTTTTCAGGGCTGAGAAACAGTATAATGACGTAAAGATCAGCACTTGAGCCCTGGCCAGGAAGCTCAGTTGGTTAGAGTGTCATCCCGATACACACGTTTACGGGTTTGATCCCCAGTCGGCACACACGAGAAGCAACCAATGAATGCATAAATAGGTGGAACAACAAATTGATGTTTCTCTCTCCCTCCCTCTCTCTCTCTAAAATCAATAAATTAAAATTTCATTTTATTTAAAAAAAGTTCACCCTGAGTATGAACAGATATTGCCCATGTGCCCGTGTCAGGCAGATGGCTCTCATTCATCCATCCATCCATCCATCCATTCATCCACCAGATTCTTCCGAAGAGGCTATGTCGTAGGAAGCGTTGTGTGTGATGCTGAAAGACACGGAAAGGAAGGGGTGGGATCGCCGTCTGGACCCCTGCTTGTCCCAGGACTACAGCAGGCAGGACCTGGCCCTCACCGACGGGCTCTGATTACTTCGGCTGCTTGTAGGGTTGTGTGTTCCCCCAAAGTGACGGGGCTGTGGGTGGCGGCGGTGACTGTACATGTATGCCCTGCCTTGTGATGCCCATTCGGACACTGAGGAGCGTGTGTGGTGAAGATGCATCACGTCTCTGATTCGCCAATGGCCCAGCCACGGAGCCGCTCTGCTCTCGCGGGCGCCCGGGCCTGCTCTCACCAGCTGCTTCTGTTTTCTGTCCCCTTTCAGTACCTGCAGATGAAATGGCCCCTCCTCGATGTCCCCTCCAGTGCTACCGTCAAGGACACCAGGTCACCGTCCCCAGCACACTTGGTAAGTCTGTTTCTCCTTAAAGTGCTCACCTCGGCGGTCACTGCTTCCCCTCCCGCTGCTGAAGCTGCTGGGTCTGGTGGTGTTGCCTCCAGTGTGTGGGTCCCTGAGCTGTCGGGGCTGCACTTCCCTCCCCCTCCCACCTCAGCGCACGCACACACAAACACACACACACACACATCCCTCCTGGGATGGTATGTGATTGGAAACGCCGTCCCACCCTGGCTGGGAACCCTGGCCCTTCTCTGCTGCCTCTGGAGCCCGGCTGCCCAGAAATGGTGTCTGTCTCCCTCTGTCGCAGCTCATTCAGCCGCTGCTGCCCCCTCGGAGCACGAGGCGCAGTGGAAGGGGCTCTTCTGTGTGGGATGTTCTAGGAAAGGAGGAGGTGAGGCGCGTGCAAAGGGAATTCCCGCAGGGCCGCCGCGGCTCTTCTGCCAGGCCCTGTGGCTACTCGGGCTGCAGAGGGTGGTCGGGATGGTCCTGGGGGGCCAGAGCTTGGGGCCCAAGCAGGTCTCCCCTCCTCAGCACTTGCCACGGACTGAAAGTGAAAGCAAATAAGAGATGATCCTTGTGCCAAATAAGTGGTGATCCTCAGCACGGACAGCCGTGAACCCGAGGGGGTGCGGTGCAGGATTAAAGAAGACAGACAAGAATAAAGCTGGGGCTAGGTGGGACGCTGCTCTCTCTGATGGAGAGACAGCGCCACGGCCTGCAAGCCGAGTCTTTATTTTATAGCCAGATTCCATGAGGCAAAGTAAGGGCACGGGTAAGATGTTTACAATGTTCTCACGGGTTTCAAATCTACTCGGTTATATGCACCTGAAGTCTATCAAGTCCACATCACTCAGCCTCCTGCAACCACAGGTTTGGACCATAAGGTCAAGCTTACAACTATAGCCTTTGGCTAGAGCTGTGCTGGGACTTGCACACGAGAGGATCGTGCCCTCTCATTAGTATGAGGCTTGAACCTGTCCAAGCGCTGTAGCCGCTCTCCACAGATCCTGGCTCTAGCCGGTTGGGCTCATTGGATAGCGAGCGCATTGGCTTCGATTCTGGTCAAGGACACATACCTTGGTTGTAGGCTCCATTCTCTCTCACATCCATGTTTCTCTCTTCCTGTCTCCCCCTCCCTTCCACTCTCTGAAAATCAATGGAGAAAAGACCCTTGGGTGAGGATTAACAAAACAAAACGAGATGATCCTGGAACCTTGCGTTCCCCGTCCCTGGACTCTTCGTACGAGCCGCCCTTGCCTGAGGACTATGCCCCCCACAAGCCAACGGGTGTACCCACTGTACAGCGAGTCTCGGAATCGTAGCAGGTGCAGCCAGAAGCAAGCCCAGCTGGCACGGCCTGTCCATTGACAGGGAGACTCGGAACGCTTGATGTTTTTTTAAACTTCATTATGGAAAATTTCACGTCTTCCCTTCACCCACACTCCCTGTCCCACCACACTGGGTTGTTTTAAAGAAGATCCCACATACGTTATTTCATCGCATTCAGGACATGATGGCATCCTGATAGTACTTTTTCATTATGAGCTTCGAGTCCAGTTGAGGAGAAGGAGGAGATACGTAGAGAGAGAAATCATGGTGCCGTGAGCCTTCTGATTCGCGGTCATCCTGAGCCCTCACAGGAGCAGGCCCTTGGTAGCGGAGAAGCAGTGTCATGTGCAGTTCTCAGATGACTGTCACAGCCATCTGTGGAGGGACAGCTGGAGAGACGTGTCTTTGAGCAGCAGTGAGTGGCAGGACCAGCCGTCCGGGGCCGGCTGCCCGGAGCGGTTCTGTGGCCGGTCACTGAGAATGAGCAGCCCATTGACCAAGCTTCCCAGGAACAGGCCACGGTGGCTGCCCCCCCAGATTCCTATATCGGGTGGCAGAGCGTGAGGTCCAGGCGCCCTCTAGTGGCGCAGTCTGTCGCGGTGGAGGTCACAGCCTCCCGCATCCACCCTAAACCTGGCTGTCCCCTCCCTGCGGCTCTCGCTGACAGTTTCAGATCTCTGCAGGCCCCACCCATCCTGTGGCCTCTCCAGCCCACTGTCTCTGCTCTTCCCTCCACACACCGTCTCTGCACACGGTCTAAAACCTCCATCCACTTCTAGAGGAAGTGAGTTCCCTTTAGAGCTAGCACGTGCACTCTGAGATTCCCATCCTTCCTGTTGCGCAGACCAGCCCATCTCGGAAAAATAAACTGTGAAGCCTGTGTCCAGCCCTCCTCTGCCTGTGAGCATGAACCTGTTTCCCTCCCAGTTTCCTGTCCGGCTTTTCACACAAGAGTGAGACCTGCCCCTCCATCCCTGCACCGTGTACTGTGCGGTCCACTGCAGCCTGGCTCAGCTTCCCAGCTGCCATCGAAGCGCTAAATCCGGTCATTTCCCTGCTTTTTCTCAACACGGGTGACACCTGACAGTATCCACAACCTTCCGCTTTCTATGATCCGAGTATCATCTGTTTTCCTCTCTAAGCTTCCATTTTCTTTCTAGACGCTTTTCCTCAGTAAATCAGCTGCTCATCCTCACTTACCTTAGTGTGACACAAAAACATATGAAGTCCTGCTGGACCCGCATGGCTCAGAACCTATGAACCAGAAGGTCATGGTTCAATTTCTGGTCAGGACACATGTCTGGGTTACAGGCTCAATCCCCAGTGTGGGGCGTGCAGGAGGCGGCCCATCAATGACTCTTCCTCATCGATGTTTTTATCTCTTCCCTCTCCCTTCCTCTCTGAAATCAATAAACCTATGTTTAAGCACACACACACACACACACACACACACACACACACACCCTAAACTCTCAGAAAGGTTCAGTACGATGGCTGCTGCCAAGCAAACATCGGCCATTGCAAATGTGTGCTCTGCAGATCCTCACTCAGCATGCACTGCGCTGGGCAAGGGGAAAGCATGGACAGTTGATAGTCACTGTAGATAGCAAAATGGGTAATTTTCTAGTAAACTGTGTCGTGTGTCAACATAAGAAACATTCAAACCTGTGGAGAATTTCTGTGAGTTTATTTGAGCCAAACTGTCAACAATTGCCAGGAAGCAAAATCTCAATGGATTGAGATAATGCTCCGGAGACGGGCAGCTTTGCGCCTTGTTTTATATGTTAGAATCAAAGAGAAGACTGACGTGGGTTACATGAAGTTCATTGGTGGTAGATTAGGGAGGCGGGAGGAAGCAAAGAAGGGAAACCTCTGGGATGGGATAAAAAGTAAAATGATAGACACATACACCTTTTACATAGTTGAGTACAGGATAGTTAATAGTCAACAACTGGCATGATAAAAATAGCAACGAGGGGATTCACAGTCTCTGCCCTGGTGCATTGGTTGTGCCCTGAGGGGTCCAGGAAAGGGGCAGTTACCCTGATATCCCAAAAGTACGTTATCGTGGATGCAAAAGACAGCAGACAGGGAGATTCTAGCCTAGGACATGACTACCTGCCATAAACGGCTTTTAGTTAAAAAGTTTCATTTCAGACCACCCTCTATGGTTATTTTAAGTATCTGGGTTTGCAAGGCCACCACACAGGCCTTCCCTAAGCTTGTCAGGTTAGCACGTGGCCCCTTTCATCCACAATTATTCTCTGTACTCTGATATGAAAAAACAGAAACAGGCTTCAAAAGCTTAAAGAACATTGATGGGAGAAAAGCTTACCGTTAACTTGAAGTTCTACCAGTTGGAGAAAGAACACCATTTTCAGTTTTCGAGTCCGAACATCGCATTCACACGTGAGCTACATGCATTTGTAGGAGCAAAGCCTGAGTTACACGGGCGTGTGCGTTGTGGGTATGTGATACAGTGGGTTGGAATCCCTGCTCCACCTCTATTTGTGCAGCTTCAGGCAGATTACCTCACCTCTCTTTACCTTGGTTTCCTCATTTATAAGATGGGATTCAGAAAAGGATTTGGCCTTAGAGTTGTGCAAAAATGAGTTTACAATTGTGCCTACCACGAAGTAAGCCCTCAGTAACCGTTAGCTTACCAGCATGGTTGTTATTAAGAGAGGGAGAGACAATTAAAATACCATTTAATTAGCAGACTAAGAGGTGATGAGGTCCTGAATTAGTTGCATGGATTGCAAAGGTAATAGAGATAATGAGCCTATGGTATTTAGTATCTACTCTTTCAAGAATATGATTTCATTGTCTGGGATGGGGCTCGTATCTCAGTTGTTTTGTTTGTTTGTTTTAATATATCTTACTGGTTTCAGAGAGGGAGAGAGAGAAAGAAACATCAGTGATGAGAATCATTGATCAGCTGCCTCTTGCACCCCCCACACCAGGGATTGAGCCTGCAACCCAGGCATGTGCCCTGACAGGAACTGAACCATGACCTCCTGGTTCACAGGTCGCCACTCAGCCACTGAGCCGCTCCAGGCCAGGCTGGTATCTTAGTTTCATGAGCTCTGCAGGAGATTCTCAGGGGCCCTGACTGCCAATCAAAGGCAGAAGGGGAGGGAGTTGCGAGATGACCCCAGTTTACTCCTGCGCACTCTCTAGGCTGGAGGCAGAGCCAGGACTCGAGGTTGCTGACGTAGTCATGGAGTTTTTTTATTAGAAAAATGAAAATATTTGATTACGAAATTTATTACAGAATCATGAGCAAAACATTCCACAATGAGTTTTGCCCGAGGAGAAGGGCGATGAATACCTGGAGAGAGTCAGTGCATCAGGTCGAAGCTACCTCTCGGAGATGTGTTGAAACAAGTCGTAACTGGGCCGTTGTGGGGATGGAGTTCATTGCGACTAGGGTTTTATGCCTTCTAAACAGCTCTAAAAGCTAAGCAACAGGCCCGACTGTGGCGCAGCGGTTGAGCGTCGACCTATGAACCAGGAGGTCACGGTTCAATTCCCGGTTGGGGCACACGCCCAGGTTGTGGGCTCGATCCCCAGTTTGGGGCGTGCAAGAGGCAGCTGATCAATGATTCTCTCTCATCCTTGATGTTCCTATCTCTCTCCCTCTCCGTTCCTCTCTGAAATCAATAAAAATACATAACAAA